CCCTAACCCTAACCCTAACCCTAACCCTAACCCTAACCCTAACCCTAACCTACCCCTAACCTTACACCCTAACCCGAATACCCTAACCCTAACCCTTAACCCTAACCCTAACCTACCCCTAAACCTTCCTTTCATCTAATCCCCTAACCTTTCCTTTCATCTATCCCAAACCTTGTTCTTTTATTCTATCCCTAACCCTTTCCTTTTATCTATCCACTAACCCTTTCCTTTTATCTATCCCTAACCTTGTTCTTTTATCTATCCCTAACCTTCTCCTTTCTCTATCCCTAACCTTTTCTAATTCCCCTGTCCCTAACCCTTTCCTGTTGCTCTCTCTCTATCCTCTCTTACTCCTAACCCTAAACCCTCTTAAAACGCCTTTACTATCTAAATTCCTGTTTTTGTATTTTCCCTTGTCTCTGCTTCGCTCCTGCTTTGTCTCTATCCCTCTAACTCTTGCTTTGTCACTAACCTCTTTGCTATATACTAACCCTACCTTTTTTTTTTCTCTTCCTTCTTCTTTCTCTCTCTTGCTCATCCTTTATTCCTTCCATCTGTATCTTTCTCCTCCTAATTCTTTCCCTTGGACCTCTGCTTTAATTCTCGTTCGTCCTTTATATTGTAAACTACCCCCTTCTAAACCTTACCTCTTCCTTTCTACTATCTCTTCCCTTTTATATCTTCACGCCTTCTCTTATCCTGAACTTATACTTACGGTTTACCTTACTATATTTTTATCTACCTCTTTTAAACTTGAACTTGTTGATTATTTTTACTCCCTTTCTTCCCTAACCCTTCTGTCCTTATGTACTGAAATATTCTCCTTGCGATGAACTCCTTACTTTGATATCTCCTCTATCTACTTATTATCAACCCCTCCCCTATCCTAAACTGATTCCCCTGTACTCCTGCCTACTGGTAAAATGTGTCCTGCTTCCCCTTCTTACCATGCCCCTGACCTTATGATAAAATGGTTGTCTTTGGAACCTTATTCGGCTTGTTCTGTGTTAATTTATCTGGTGCTTACTATTCCTCTATATCTTGGTGTTATATAATCTGTATATATTATGAACTTGGAATTCTCTATAATGCTGCCCATCCACTTGTATCTGAATGGGAACTTTTGACTCTGGCTTTGGACTGGAATCTCTCTCTCTCTCTTATTTATGCCTGCTTATACTAACTACCTTACTTTATTAATATAAACACCCCTCTTGTTTTTCCTTTACTTTATCCTTAACTTTTATCCCTACTCTATTTTGAACTTTTTCTCTACTCTAACTCTTACTTTTATTTCTGCTCTGTTTCTAACTTTCTATTTCTACCCTATCCTTAACCCTTTTCTTTTAACCTATCTCTAACCCTCTTCCTTATTCTAACCTTTACCTTTACTTCTGCTCTAACCCTAACCTTACTCTTTTAACTTATCCCCTACCTTGTTCTCTACCCTATCCTTGACTTTTATTTTTACTCTATTTCTAACTTTCTATTTTCGCCTTGTCCCTTACCTTTTCCTTCATTCTAACCCTCACTTTTATTTCTGCTTTACTTCTAACCCCTTTCCTTTAACCTATCCTTTATCCTTTTCTCTGCTCTAATTCTGCCCTTTATTTCTGCTCTATCCCTAACTCTTATTCCTGCTCTATCCCTCACCCCCTTTTTCTTTTACTCTATCCTAACTTCTAATCCTGCTCTATCTCGAACCCTTTCCTGTTGACATATCCCTAACCTTAACTTTGTACGATCTCTGACTTGCTTATGCTCTCCATCTGTGGGTTGCTATATGAACCTTCCTCCTTCTTTCTTACCTAACTCTGTTTACTTATTATTCCTCCTTGTTATCCTGTCTGTGTATGTTTCCTTTCTCCCTCTAACTCCTTTCTTCCCTTTCCTACTCTATTATATATATTAACTATCTACCTTATGAATCTGCTATCTTTCGTTTGTTACTTATTAACTTCTCCTCTCTTACTTACTCTTCTAACCTTTTGGTTTATAACCTTTCTCGTGGTACATAACCCTTGTTTTGTGAATAACTTATAACTCTTTTTTTACTATCTTACTCCCTTATCTCTCTCTCTCTATTTACTCTCTAATCTTCTTTATAACGACTCCTATACTCTTACGAACTCGCCTCTACGGACGAACACCTTACTACTCGGCCCTTTTGTTATACTATGCTACTATGCTATCTAATCTAAAACTGGTCCTGTTATCTTCAACTCTGTATCTGTCTATATTATGCTTATATTCCTATGTTCCCTTTTCGCTCCTCTCCTTGCCCTCTTTACTTTTGTCTCTTTCTCTGCTCTTTATATTCCTCCCGTCTTCCCTATCCCTTCTCTCCTCTCTATACTTTACCCTTCTTGCCTCTACTTTCCTCTGCTCCTTGGATCCCCCCTTTCTTGTTGCTTGCTAATTGTATGTCCCCTCTATTATCTGTTTCTTAACTCTATCCCTCCTGAACTTTGCTTTATTGCTGACTTCTATTTCTGCCCTATTCTTGACCCTTCTGTTTGCTGTATTCCTGACTTTGATTCCTACTCTGACCTTAATCCTTCTCTTTAACCTATCTCTGACCTTTACTGTGTACTAACCCTGGCTCCCCTATACTCTACCTCTATGGGCTGCTAAATGAATCTCCCTCCCTCTCTTTTACTGAAATCCGTTTTTTTACTTTTCCCCCCTTGGTCTTCTATCTGTTTGTATTTCTATTTCTCTCTGTCTACTTTCTTTCTACCTCCCTTTATCTTTAACTACTGTCTACTGTATAAATCTGCTATCTTTGGTATGTGATTCTTTAATTCCCCCTCTCTTGCTGACCTTGCTACCCCTTTTTGGCTGTAATTTTTCTCGGTGTACTCTGCTCTCTTTCTATAACAAATCTTTTACTCTTTCCTATTATCTTAATACTATTCTCTTTCCCTCTGCTTGCCCCCGAATCTGCTTTATTATAACTCCTATACTCTTACTAATTCGCCTTTGTTAACGAACCTCTTACTGTTCTGCCCTTTTGTTCTGCTATGCTATCTAACCCTAAAACTGGCCCTGAAATCTTTAACACTACATCTGTATTATATTCACGCTCTTACATCCCCTTTTTACTTCTTTTTTTTCCCTTCTCTCCGGCCCCTTTCTCTGCTCTTTCCATCCTTCCACTGTTGCCTATACCTTTTGCTGCTCCTTGTATTCCCCCCTTCTTGCTCCTTGCTCATGATTCATCCCCTCTGTTACTCTTTGTCATCTTCCACCTCCTGCTCTCTTGTGCTATTAAATCTTTCTGTGTGAAAAAACATCTGATGCTCTGTTTTCTATTATCCTTTACTACTATACTTCCCTACTCCCTACCCTAAACTGTCGTACTCCTATGTACGGCCCCTACTCGCCCCGCCTTGCCCTGCCTGATCACCCCTCTGCTACGCCCTCTACTGCCTTCTGCCACAACTGGCTTGTCAACCGGCACAACTTGCTTGACTGCACCCCTCCCCATTGGATCATCTGCCCTAACCACTTATATACCTCCTTCTCGCTCGATGCCCACTCCTCTAACCCGTCCGCTCTGCGCATCGCCCTCACCGTCTCCTCGTACACCCTCGACCCCACACCGATCGTTGCGACGGCGAACATCGTAACCATCAACCCTTGGTACTGGCATGAACCGCCCTCGACCTCCGTGAACCGCCCGCCGTCCTCGCCCAACGGCTCCCATCGCCGACACCAACCCTGCGGCAATCCGCAATGGAAACAACTGCTGAAATTCTCCATCATCCGTCCGTCGAACATGGCCTCTTCCATCTGCCTCCTGTACTGCGCCGTCCACCCCCACGCCTGCTCCCCGCGGCCTGGGCAATCGTCTAACGTGTGCCCGTCGCTCTCTCTCCGGCGTATCCCGCAATACGTGCACCGTCCCGCCCACCGCGCCAACTGCTGCTTGAACGTCTCCCCCTCCTCCCCTAACCCTGAACGCTCTGCCCTGGCCTGCCACTGGCGGAACTGCCTGGCTTGCTGACTGGTCTCGAACGCGGCCCTGATCTCTTCGTCTTCTCTGGCTCCATGTCCCTCTCTATCCCCGTCCTTGTCCCTATCCATATCTCCATCCCCGTCGTCTACCCACATCACCTCCGACGCCCTCTGCCGGCATATGTCGCATGCCTCTTCGCCCTCCTCGCACCCTGGACGGTCCACCCGCCCGTCCATGACCTCGTCTAACACAATCCGCCGGCATACCTCTCCCCTGATGTATGTCCTTGTTGACACCTCCCATCCCCCTCCGGCTGCCCTCCCATCTTTCTCTGCCTCCCCTGCCTCCTTCTCCTTCTGCTTCTCCTTCTCCTTCTCCTCCACGGCTGCCCTACTGCATATAACAACCGACCGGCTTGGCTGGCCGTCTCGCCCGGCACGCCCGCTCTCCTGGACGAAATCCCGCAACCGCCGCGGCATGCCCGCGTGGACCACCAACCGCACGTCCGGCACGTCGATGCCTAACCCCAACGCGTTCGTCGCCACGATGACGCCCCCATCGGCGCCGTCGCCCATCCTCCACGCCTCCAACCTCGACGCCTTGTCCTCCGTGCTGCCGATGCTGCTGTGGAACGCTGCGCACCCCAACGCCTCGGCCATCCGCTCGACGCCCTCGATCGTGCTGCTGTACACCACCGCCTTGCCGCGTGGCTGCTGCCGCAACCAATCCCTGACCTCCTGGCAACCGCGCTCCTCGACGGCGCTCAACTCGCCGTCCTCACCCTCCCGACCTGACCCTAACCCTAACCCTGACTCTGCCCGGCGCCTGTGGCTTGCCGCACCACGACCACGACCACGACCCCCACCCCCTGACCCTAACGCAACGACAACAACCCCATACTCGATATTCCTCCGCGTCGTCGCCTCGCGGAACACCCGCACCCGCTCCTGCCGGATCCCCGTCACGGCGAAAAACTCCCGCTCCTCCGCCGGCGGCAACGTCGCCGTCAAACACACCAACTGCGCCCCGAACTCCTGCACCGTCCGCCCCAACGCCCGCAACGCCGGCCGGAACCCCCTCGACCCATCCAACACGACGTGGCACTCGTCCAACACCACCCGGTCCAACTGCTGCCGCCGCTGCAACCGCCCGACGAAATCCCGGAATCCCTGCGTGACGGCCGACTCGGGCGTCACGAACACCACCGTTGCTGCGGCCGTGTTGGCCCGCCCGCCGCCGCGCCACGTTGTCGACGCCAACCCCGACCTCGAACACCGCGCGTCCATGTCGGTGCGCAACGCCACCAACGGCGTCACGACGATCGTCACCCCGTCCGGTGCGCAATACGCCGGCAACATGAACGACAAACTCTTGCCGCCGCCCGTGCCCGTCACCTGCACGATCGGGTCGTCCCCGCGCATGATCGACCGGATGACCCGCTCCTGCTGGCCGCGGAACGCCGCCCGCGGGTCCCCCATCATCTGCCGCAACTGCCCGCCGGCGTTGGCTAACTGCAACCGCGTGAACCGCCGCCGCCGCTGCCCTTCGAACTCCTCGTCCGCCGCCGTCGTCGCCGTCCGCCGCCGCTTGGTGGGTGCCCCGCCGCCCCGGTCCTCCGCCCCGAACCCCAACAACCGGTGCCACTGCCGGCTGACGGCCCGGAACCTGTCCCGCAACGCCGCCGTGCCGAACGGTGCCTCCTGGTACAACCGCCCGTATATCATCCCCGCCACGTGCGTGCCGTGCCCGGCCTGCAAATCCAATGCGCTGTCCTCGACGCCTATGTCGTCGTCGTTGTCGTCGTTGTCGTTGTTTTTGTCGTCTGCCCGTCCGAACGCCTCGTTCAAATACCGGTTGGCGATGGCGACGGCCATGTGCCGCCACCCGCTGATGTTGATCTTGCTGCCGACCAACCGCTCGCTGTGCTGCTGCATGATCCGCCTTGCCTTGTCTGACGTCCACAACCGTTCGTCCGTCCACGGCGCCCGGCCGGGGGTGGCGTTGGCGCTCTCGTCTGTGATGGTGTTGTCACGGGCGTCGTCGTCCTCGGTGTTGTCACGGGCGTCGTTGTCCTTGGTGTTATTGCGGCGCTCGTCGCCCCTGGTGTTATCACGGCTCGCCTCGCCCGCCGCCCTGCCCCTTACAACCACGTCGTCCGCCCATAAAAATGCGCTCTTCCGGTCCGTCTGATGGATGATGCCTCCTACCTGCTGCCAAAACGGCAACACTAACCATAAATACCACACCAACAACTCGCCGACCTCGCGCGGCAAATACCGGTGTATCACCTTGGCCGTCCCCGTCTGGCGGTAATTCTTGTGGTACGACGTGACGAAACATATCATGCCGTCGTGTGCGAACACGTTCCTGACCCCGCCGTTGGCCGTGTTGCTGTGTCTGATGCCTGCTAACTCGGGCGCCCGCGCCGGCTGCCCTGCCACCATGTGCATCAACATCCACAACCGCTCCCGGAACGATTCCAACGCCTGTCTGTATGCCTGCACCGTCCTCTCGCGGTATGGGTGGTGGCTATCGCTGCGGTTGGACGTGACCTCCTCCGCCTGTCCTGCTGCTGCTGCTGCTGCTGCTGCCACTGCCGCCGCCGCCGCCCCTCGCGTTGGGTCTAACCACGCCCGCCGCCGTGCCTCCGACTCTGCGATGCGCCGTGCGATCCACCCCTTCCCCTTGCCCACCCACGCCTCGTTGCGGTCGTCGTGTAAAAACGAATACCCCGGCCGGTCCTGGCTGTGGTCGTCGTGCATGCTGTCCCACCTGATGGCGGGCAACGCTGCTGCTAACGCTGATCGGCCTCCGTACCCATCGCCGTGCCCGTCCCTGTCGGGATCATTATCCCTATCCCCATCCCCGTCCACCACCGCCAACTGCGCCAACAACGTCCGCGCCTCCTGCGCTACCCCGTGGAACATCTCGGCCAACTCGCACACCCGCACCCGCACCCGCCGGAACGATATCCGGTCGCCGCTCCAATCCACCATCCCCGGCGCCACCGTGTTAAACCGGATATGCATCCCGTACGTGCGCGCGTCGTAAATCCAATTCATCGCCCTGGGCTCGTCGTCCGGCCGCCCGGGCATCCGCGTCATGAACCGCCGCACCTTGTCGCGCACCAAATGGAACACGCTGCTGGCCTCTTCGTACGCCGCCTCGGCCCCTTTGGTCGCCGTCAACGCCACCACCTCGTCCTTCCGCTCCAACCACGCCTGGTACACGACGAACATCTTGGCCACCTTGATCACGGCTGAATAATTCGTCGTGTACTCCGTCGCCTGGTGCCACCCGCCGTCCTCGCGGATGCCCAACACCGCCAACGCGCCGATCATCGCGCTCTCCTTTTGGCTCTGCTTGTACGGGTCCTCGATGATGGCGATGATGGCGTCCAAACACATCCTCTCGACCTCCTCCGCCTGCGCGGCCTGCCTGCTGCCGACATCCGCCTCGACACGGCTGGTGAACGCATCCCACAACGACCCCTGACGCATGGTGAACCGATACGGCGGCCGCTCGCGCTCCGGCCACTCGTCCATGCGGAACCATATGCTCACCATCTTACGCCAAACCTCCTTGTACCGCTGCCACGTGTCGTCCTCCATGCGGTTGTCGAATGGCCGCACCGGCTTCTGGCCGATCTCCTTCCGCTCCGCCTCGAACAACACGTCGTGCCCGACCTTGTGCGGTGCTGCTGTTGCGCATGCCTTGTCGGCGACGCTGTTGAACACGGCCCATATGGCCTCTAACGTCTCCTCGCCATCCTCAATTGGTCGCGTGGCCTCCTGTAACTGCGTCTTGTTCAACCCTTCCAAATCCCTCGTCCACCCGACGCGGTACAACCACCCGTTCGGCTCCAACTTTTCGTCCACTGTACTGACCTCCTCGCGCGCGTCGGCCTCGAACCGCTTCTCTTGGTTCTCGTGCAACGTGACGAACCACGCCGTGTCGTCCGTCCCCGGCCCCGATGGCTCGCTTTGAACGGCCACCCCTAACCCCCGCCCGACCTCGAACCATCCGCTTGCGGCCCGTGTTAAAAAAAAACGCTGGCATGGCACGCCTGTTGTCCACGGCAAATCTCTGACTGCCGTGGCTTTCTTGCGCACATTGCCCCCCTTCTGCCAATCATTCGCCCACCGGTGTTCTGCCCGGCAATGCTCCTGCATGTTTCGCACGCGGCGGCACACATAACGGCATGCGTGGCAACGCAAACCGTCCGCCCGGGGCGGTGCGATATGGGCAACTGGCTCGACCGTGGGGTCTGGGTATTGAAACGACTGCAAATCGGCCTGGCTGCGGATGATGCCGGGAATATCGCCGACTAATCCGGCGACCTTGCTCCTGGCCTCGGCGGGGATTGACCGATGGTTATTCCGCAAATGCGCCGTGGCTTCGTTGGCTAATACGGCGTACTGACATAATGTGCATATCAAAATGGAATACTGCGTGTTGTGGACGAATGGCTCCATCTTTGGCATGTATTGGTTACTTTCTTCTATCTACTGTTTATGACTGGTTCCTCCTGTCCTCTCTTTATAAACTCACCTTCCTGCCCCTTAATTCCATATACTTTCTCCTTGATCTACTTTCCTCCCTGCCTACGTTCCATCGCTCGGTCGGGCTTTCTGGCCTGGCTGATGGTCCTGTTATATAATTGGCTGGTTAATGCGGGGATTCGGACGACATCACAAAAACATCTACTACCCTATTCACCTATTTCTGGACTCATATCACGGAATAAAACACTGAGAACTGGGTTCCTATAATTATACCGATTGTGGCTTTAATTGCATGCTACTTTTACCTATTTTACTACGGAAAATCTCAACGGCTTCCACCTTGCTGTGAACAACGGTTTCCGCCCTTGTCTCAACGGACCCACCTAATTCCATGGTGGGGCGTTCAATGGCTTCCGACGTCAGCCATCGTGGACGTGATGTTAGATGTGCTGTGACTTCGTTCGCTACTACTGCATACTGACATGATGTGCATATCAGAATGGAATACTGCGCGTTGTGGACGAATGGCTCCATGTTTACCTATACGGATGGCTTGCTTTGGTCTACTACTATTAAATGATTCCTCCTGTCCTCTCTTTATAACCTTACCTTCCTGCCCCTTAATTCCGTATACTTTCTCCTTGATCTACTTTCCTCCCTGACTGCGTTCCATCAGTCGGTCGGGCTTTCTGGCCTGGCTGATATCCCTGTTATGTGATTGGCTAGTTAATGTGGGGTTTGGGACCGCATCACGAAAACATCAACTACGCTATTCATCGATTTCTAGACTCACCTTGCTGATTATCGAACTGAGAACTAGATGGTTATAATTGCCTTCATTCAAGCTTTCATTGCATCCTACTTTTGTGTATTTTACTGCGGGAAATCTCAACGGCTTCTTCACTACTGGAAAACAACGGCTTCTACCCCCTGTCTGCACGGACCCACTTATTTTTTGGTGAGGATTTCAACGGCTTCTACTTGAAGCCATCGTGGACGTGATGTTAGAACTGGGTTCCTATAATTATACCGATTGTGGCTTTAATTGCATGCTACTTTTACCTATTTTACTACGGAAAATCTCAACGGCTTCCACCTTGCTGTGAACAACGGTTTCCGCCCTTGTCTCAACGGACCCACCTAATTCCATGGTGGGGCGTTCAATGGCTTCCGACGTCAGCCATCGTGGACGTGATGTTAGGTTATAGATATAAATAATAATAAAGAGGAGTAGGATATTAATAGAGTTTAAAGGCTTATTTTTTTAGCTTTATTAAGATAAGTATATTATAGATAATACTTATTAGAAGGTTTAATTTTAATATTCTAAGGATTAATCTATTAGTTATTTAGATTTTTATATATTATATTTTAGAGATTATACTAGCTATCTATAAGATATTTAGTTTATTAGTTTCTTTATATAGTAGTAACTTCTTTAGCTTTATTATAGCTATAAGATATTAGTAGTAATAATAATAAAGGCTATAGTAGTATTATTAGTTATAGCTATAAGATATTAATAGTAGTAGTAGTAATACTAATAGTATTAATAGTAGTATAAATAGTAGTAATAGTAGCTATAATAGCTTATCACAGCTATAAGATACTAATAGTAGCAGTAATAGCTTATTATAGCTATAAAATAACACTAATAGGTATTTAGCTATAATAGTAATAAGGCAGCTTATTATAGCTATAAAATATTAGTAATAATAATAGCAGCTTATTATAGCTATAAAATATTAGTAGTAATAATAAGACTAGCTTATTACAGCTATAAGATACTAATAGTAGCAATAGTAATAAGATAGCTTATTATAGCTATAAGATACTAATAGCAGCTATAATAGCTTATTATAGCTATAGAACGCTAATAGCAGCAGTAAGACTAGCTTATTATAGCTATAAGATATTAATAGTAGTAATAGCAGTAAGATAGCTTATTATAGCTATAAGATGCTAATAGCAGCTATAATAGCTTATTATAACTATAAGATACTAATAGCAGCAGTAAGACTAACTTATTATAGCTATAAGACGCTAATAATAGTAGCAGCAGTAAGATAGCTTATTATAGCTATAAGATACTAATAGTAGCTATAATAGCTTATTATAGCTATAGGATACTACCTTCCTATAGCTATAATAGAGGCGCGCCTATATATATATCTATATGTATATATATGCATGCGTGCGCGCGCATATCCTTTTAAGGGGAGAGGAAAAATAAGCCCCTTAATATAGGTAGAGCTAGTTGCGCACACCTTACTACCTTAGTGCTTATAGCTTACTACACTAAAACTATAACTATAACCTCTACTTCTTAACCTTAATATAATAATAATAACTTTATACTTAATATTCCTCTATATTATTACTTTATAGAACACTTATACTTACTTTAGCTAGATCTTTATTATAGTAAAAAACTCCTACTCTTCTATTAATAATAATATTACTATTAAATATACTAACTACGTCCTAAACTCTTATATTATCTGCTTTAATATTTATAAGGCTAGCTAGAACCCTTTTAACCTATCTAATATAATATAGCACTTATCTAATACTACTTAGTCTAACTGCTATTACTACTATAAACACCTAATAAAATCTTAGAATCCCTTTATAATAACTAACTTAAGTGTTATAAATACTACTATTATTGCTATTATATTAGCTTACTTACTGCTATACTATATTATTAATGCTAACTCTAACCTTAAACACTATATATCTATATTAATATATAATACTACTAATAATATTATAATAATTATTACTCTATTTAGTATATAATATATTAGTAATATAAATAATAAACTCTTATTACTACTTATACTTATTACCTATATAATTAGGTTATCCTTATATATAATTAACTAGATAACCTGCTCTTACTAGCTATAGAATGCTATTTATAAGTCCCCTATTATTTATTATAACTACTTATTAGTATTAGCTAACTATAACTATATAAACTACTACTATTACTACCTTTTAAACTCCTTATCTACTATTATTATTACTATCTACTACTACTTAATAAATATCTTATTACCTTAATCTTCTACCTTAAACCTTAATAACTAATATTACTACTAGCTAATAGCTTAAAACCTATCTTATAATGCTACTATACTAAATAGTACCTCCTAATATAACTACCTATATATTATCCCCACTATATATATACTATACTTAGCTTATAAATCTAATATACTATCCTTAACGCTTATATTATTATTATTATTATTATTATTATTATTTTTATTATCTACCTACCTAAACGCCTTATTTAAATACTAGTTAGTAATAGTAATAGCTATATACTACTACTTATTAATATTAATCTTATTACTAACTAACTACTTATTATGCTATTATATAATCTACTTTGCTTTATCTAACGTTTATAACTATTTATCTATTTATAGCGCCTAGCTAGGAGTAATATTAGCGCTCTTATCTATAATAGTGTTCTTATAGGTGTTATTATCCTTAATATTATTATAAGTGTTATTATCCTTAGTGTTATTATAGCGTTTATTACCTTTAGTGTTATTATAGCTTACTTTACTTACTACTCTACCTCTTATAACTATATTATCTATCTATAAAAATACGCTCTTTTAGTTTATTTAATAGATAATACTCTCTACTTACTACTAAAATAGTAATACTAACTATAAATATTATACTAATAACTTACTAACCTTATACAGTAAATATTAGTATATCACCTTAGTTATCCTTATTTAATAGTAATTCTTATAGTATAACGTAATAAAATAAATTATGCTGTTATATATAAATATATTCCTAACCTTATTATTAGCTATATTGCTATATCTAATGCCTACTAACTTAAGCGCTTATACTAGCTGCCCTACTATTATATATATTAATATCTATAACTGCTCTTAGAATAATTCTAACGCCTATCTATATACTTATATTATTCTCTTATAATATAGGTAATAACTATTACTATAGTTAGATATTACCTCCTCTACCTCTCTTACTACTATTATTATTACTACTACTACCCCTTATATTAGGTCTAACTATACTTATTACTATACCTCTAACTTTATAATATACTATATAGTCTACCCCTTTCCCTTACTTATTTACACCTTATTATAGTTATTATATAAAAATAAATACTTTAGCTAGTTCTAGCTATAATTATTATATATACTGTTTTACTTAATAGTAAGTAATACTATTATTAATACTAATTAGCCTCTATACTTATTATTATACCTATCCCTCTTAAGATTATTATCTCTATTCTTATATCTATTTATTATTACTAACTATACTAATAATAACTATACCTCTTATGCTAACTTATAAAATATCTTAGCTAACTTATATACTTATACTTATACCTACTAGAATAATATCTAGTTACTACTTTAATCTATTATTCCTAATACTATTATATTAAACTAAATATATATTTTATATATATATATATTATAAATCTAGTTTATTACTTTAAGCTTATTATCTAGCTAGCTAAATATCTATATTATAAACTACTACACTTTATTATATATTAAATAAAATATACTACTAGTTACTTTATATATTACCTCAGCCCCTTTAGTTACTATTAATACTACTACTTTATCCTACTGCTCTACTTATACTTAGTATATAATAAATATCTTAGCTACCTTAATTATAGCTAAATAATTTATTATATATTCTATTACTTAGTGCTACTTATTATTTTTATAAATACTTAATACTGCTAATATACTAATTATTATGCTCTCCTTCTAGTTTTACTTATATAGGTCCTTAATAATAGTAATAATAGCGTCTAAATATATCTTCTTAACCTCTTCTGCTTATATAGCTTACTTACTACTAATATTTACTATAATATAGCTAGTAAATATATCTTATAATAACCTCTAATATATAGTAAACTAATATAATAGCTACTTATA